CAACTTTATCAGTTTTCTTGATAACTCTTAGAATTGATAAACCTGTATCAAGCAATCAGTTGGCCTTCCCCAAGAGCGACCGCTAAAATACAGGTTTGACCGTACTAAGTAGTGCGCGCATATGCAGCGTCATTTGGGCGGGAAAATGCGACAGCCGTCATCATTCTACTACGGGTTTTAGCCGGCCGTCCTCGTCCTCACTTCCAAAGGCCTCCATTTGCACACGAGCAGCCTGTTCACAGACCCTCTATTTTCTCCCCGATTAGCGAAAAGAAAAACAAAGCAACGTCTGTGTGTAGGCTACACATGAGCCGTCTGAAGGTTCTTCTTATAAGCAATACTGTAGCGGGAAAGGTCTTCCATTTTCGTTTTTGTTTATTTAAAATATACACTGCCGGTCCCTTTTTTAGTTCCTAGAAACAGTTTTGTTTTATGTTAAACTAGAAGATGTTGGAAAAACTACCCCCTAGTAAAGAGACTGTAACCATGAGTTATTCTGTTCAGAATTGGGGAAAATTCATAAAAGATTTCTATTCAAAATCCCCCAAAAATTTCAATTTGACTTGCTGAAGTTGAATATGGTCCCTTGGAATTCAAATTCACGCTTCCCGTATATTTGACAAAGTAAGTGAGTATGAATAACCGAGATAAAGACTGAAAGCTAGAACGCAAATTCACTTTTAAGCCACCTTCTCGTTGCTGTCGCGTCGTTGGATTTAGGAAGGCCACGTTTAAGTGTGTTAATTTCACAAGCCTCTGTGGCGGTTTTCTTTATTACAGACTTGTCCTCTGGCTTAACCTGCGTAGTAGGCGCCTGGACGTAACGGCACAGGAAAGAACGGGGCGCACGAGAGAGACACGCGACTCCTTCTCCCCTCGCGTGTTTTCCTCGAGCGCCCCGTTCTTTTTTATGCCCATTACTTTCAGGCTAACTTGTCGACCTTGTGATGTCTCTCATTGAACGGCACAAAAATCGCAGACCAAGCCATGTAAAAACATCATTTATTGTAAAACATCACAAAAAGTGCATACTACTACTCAAAACTAACAAAACCAAAATCCAGTTTTTAAAAAAGAAGCGAATAACACAATCAATAATATCGAGCATAATGCTAAGCTAAAGCGCATGTCGCATGAGAGCAAGCCCATCCTTTTGGGGAAGTCGCGAGAGCAGTACACGAAAGGAGACTCAACGCCACATGCTCGCGCGCGCTCTCGCGGCTCTACATAAATGGAGAGCTTGCTCGCAGGCTAACACGCACGCTTTAGTGAAACCGTGCAAATATAATCAGGACATTAGCCAACAATATGGCACAAACATTTGCAACCAACGCAACCGAAGCACTTGTCGGGGCTGATGTCGGGGCTGGTGCTGGGGCTGATGCCGTGACTGATGCCGGGCCGGCTGATGCCGGGCCGGCTGATGCCGGGACTGATGCGGTCGAAGAAGCTGGGTTGAAAGGATTGCACAAGTTGTCCTGGCAACAAGCGAGCTCGCAACTTGTTAGGAGTCCGGTGATATTCACCAAAGTGCACGCTGCAAAGAAGAATCAAAAGTGTATCCGGATGAAAATGAGCTGTGCAATGCAGCGCCAACAAACACCTAACAAACAGAGCAAATATCATTGTATGTCCAAATCCTCGGACGTACGTACATGCGAACTCATACACCAGAAAAGAGAACAAGAAAATGATGTTCGCCTTTGTTCGTTTGACCTCCCCCCGCCCCTCTTGCCCCTCTACTCTTGATAAGCAGCCTCAGTGTCATGTCATCTAAAAGAGGATGTAAATATTATCGGATACATATGCAAATGGCGCTGCCGGGGGCCAGTGACGTCATCCAACATGGCGGACTAATGTTTTCAGTACATGTGGCTCAATAATAAACGAACAGCTACTGAAATGGATACGGTGCCCGAGAGTAACATTCATCTTTGCACCCCTCCCCCTCCCCTGTACGTCCTAGGGATAAGGAACATAGCATCGACCCTCGTACCACCCTAGGGATAAGGAACATAACAGACTATTTTATTCTGTTTTACACAAAAGATATGGTTAGCAAAAGGTCAGTCCTATTCGAAGCTTAGCGGAATGTACCTTACATTTACGGAGGGAAAATTGAATTTCTGAGTTAACCGTGTAAAAAAATACTAGTGCTTGCAAAGAGAAATTAATGAGCCGGAATAGAGCATGTTCATAATGTATTGCTTGGGATCGACTAACTCTGAAGCGCTTTTTAAAGCGCTTCAGAGTTAGTAATCCTTTGGTATAAAGTCATCAACTTTATACCAAAGGTTTACACTTACTGTAAAGGCTGCTTTGTGGGTCACAAGCCATGCTATTTGAACAGTTTCTCATCTGCACTGACATCGTCCCCTGTCCCACATCCATTGTGTACTTTATGGCGACACAGCGATTGAAATACATTCCACATGTCACCTTGCCCAAACGGTCACTACTGCAGTCGGATCCCAGAGGGCCACACTCGTAGCACTCAAGA